CCGTGGCGTGGCTCACCACATCACAGCCACCGCCACAACTCTTCCCCACCCAGACCTCCCCGGTCGCAGGGGCCTGGCTGTCAGGTTTGGGGTTTTGCTACGGCCCTGGTTTATTGTTTTGGCGGGGCACTCTCGCAAAATGCACACCCACCTTCTCCCCCTCCTTTGGTCTCCTTCCTCCGCCGACTTCCGAGGCCTTTGGGTCCCGCCTTGTGCCCGTTTCCAGCCCTCACCCAGCGGAGACATCCCCGGCAGCGCAGTCCCCGTCCTCAGGGGAGGCAGGAGAAGGTAGCTGGGAAAATTCTAGGAAAATAAAGTGAAGGAAGGAGGAAAAGATTCTTTTATTATTATTTTTGACGCAAGTGTCTTTTTCTTCCCCTCCCGCCTCTGCCCCAACGCAGAAGAAGCTCACGCGGGAGTGCGTTTTCCGGGAGCAGTTTGAAGAGAACTGGTACAACACGTATGCCTCGACCCTCTACAAGCACCCCGACTCGGAGAGGCATTACTACGTGGCTCTGAACAAGGACGGCTCCCCCCGAGAGGGGTACAGGACTAAGAGACATCAGAAATTCACTCATTTCTTACCCAGGCCTGTGGACCCTGCCAAAATCCCCGCGATGTACAGAGACCTCTTCCACTACAGGTGATGTTTCCTGCAGCTGCCCCGTCAGTGTACATACTTGGGCTCCCAAGCTTTTCCCCAGAGCGCTGTATTAATAGTCATTCCATCATTCCTGTAAGCATAGATGACGTAGGAAAGCACTTACATTGAATTCAGACACTGCTGTTCCTCCTTGTTTCAAGCGTATATCGAACCTGGGTTATTTATGGGGGTGGGGGTAGGGGAAGGGAGGGAACCCTACGTGTAATCTTTCATTCTCCTTCACTTTCTTTACCCGGTGGCTACAAGAGAGGCCGAAAAGTCAACGTTACGGTTGCTTAAAGGAACAAGCAGGCGAGCAAACCTGATCACCCGGGGCAGGGGGGGTGGGGTGGGGAATAAAAATGAAGAGAAGGAAAGAAAACAAAAGACCACAGAACTGCCAGAGGGGCTGCTGCGGAGCTCGGGCTGGTTTCCTGCTAAGAAAAAGCCTTTTCGATGGTCCCCTGCTTAAGCAGCCCAGGAGTTTGCTACATGGACGATGCTACATGGACTGGTCCTGATGCGTGGGGGTTTTTTTCCTGCTGTTGGGGTGGGAAGGGGGCGAGGAACATTATTCAGCTGTAAGCATGGATACTGTGCATAAGGACAAAACTATTTATAAAATGTATATGATATTTATTTTATATATTTATTTATTTCAAAAGAATTTTATTTTTAATGAGAGATGCTATGACCGGATTTTCATCAGGAAGAATAAGGTCCTACTGAAACAGGAAAAAAAAAAAAATGAGTTTTAAGAGCTTATCGGCAATAAAATTGTCTTTATATTGTAGATTTCTTGCTAGCCCTTTTTTTTGGCGCTCTTTAACAATTGACCCAGTATTTCCCCATCGAGATGAATATAAGACCACCTCCAAAAAGGATGAGTAGGGCGAACATAAATTACCTAACCCCCAAACTCTTGTACAAGGATGACATCAGATTGTACCCGGACTGCACCTCGGAAGCGCGACCCTGCTGCCGCGACCGGCCGGCTGTCTCACGAGCC